CAGCAGGAGCATCCACCACCGGGAGCTGGACTCTGACTTTCCGCCCTCGCTCTGTGCAGAGAGAGGAACCCGCATCTCTGGGCTGCTGGACACTCAGCACCAGCCGGGAAAAAGGAGCGAGGAGCTAAAACTGGAACCCATCATCAAATCTCCCACCAAACCAGCAGTGAGAGCAGGGACTGAGCAACCCAGAGATATTTTGGTCTCGATTTCAGTGTTTGGCTTTTAGCCTAGATGCACACAGGAGTTTTTCAGCTGAAGAGAAGCTGCCATAACCCCGATTTGTGGGTGACTCAGATGCAGCTCCCGATCCCCAGGGAGCAGCAGGCTGCAGGTGCAGGGATTCCTTTGCGTTCTTTTCCGAGGTTTCTCACCTGGCAATGCCAGACCCCTCTGCAAGCACAAGCTGCCACCTACAAAGTTCAGGCACACGCTGATGTCCATTTTACAGATGGAAAAACTGGAGCTTTGGAGGAGGAAGTCACTTGCCTGAGGCCACACTTAAAATCACTGCAGAGCCTGGAGTGCAACCCAGGGTCCTGCCTCACGGTATCTGACCCAGGCACGCTGCTTTGCCACTTGAAAAAAAAAAAAAATCACTAAATCTATCCAGTTGCTGGGTTTTATATGCAGATTCTTATGCAAATCTCAGTGGTTGTATAAATGGCTCCTGGCTTCTAATTAAGAGCTGCTTGAAAGTTAAATACTGTTGGCAGACCTGAATAATTTCTAATTTCCATCACACTTTCCCCGAATGACCCTTTAATAGGGATAATGCTGCGAGATCATTACTTAGGAGCGTGTTATCACCAGGAAATGCCTTGCGCGGGAGGGAGGAATGTTCTCAAGATGCTGCTTATAAACACTCCCATCTGCAGCAGGTTCCATGTGGGGCTTGGAAAAGCGGGGGCAAACGCTGCCCTCCTGTTATTTACTTGCATCTCCTTTTCCCGCGGCGCTGCTGTCCTCCTGTTCTTCTCTCTCCATTGCAGCAGCGCTACCGTAATACTGGGCTGGAGGATGAGAGCAAAGGGGAAACCCAGCAGCCCCCAGCCCACAGGTGGACACAGGGCAGAGCTGGATCAGCACTTTTTTTTTTTTTTTTCTTAAATTAAATAATGCTTAACAAATCTGTGGAGTTTTCAGACCCCGCTGCCAGGCTATTCTTAGCTGCTCGGCCAGGCTGGGCCCTTCAGCTGCCCTGCGAAGGGTTTCACTTTGGTTTCTTATCAAGAGGCAGAAATTAGAAGCAGGAGGAAACAGACTTTTTGCCCTGATGCACAATTATCTGTACAGTAAGGGGCAAACGGGCTGGGGCAAAGGAAAAGGCAGCCCTGGAGATGCTGAAATGGGAAACCCCAACGGGGCCGGTGAAGGGGAGAAGCTGCTCAAACTTTTTTTCCAAACAGGGAAAGGTTTGGGAATCACCCAAACCTTTGCCCTTGCAAAGCCAGTCTTTTGGATTTATTTGTGGGAGTGCGGGGGAAAGGGAGGGCAGGATGGGTGCTGAACAGCCTGGATCCACGCTGCCACGGCTGGGGTGAAAGCCTTTCCCCAAGCCCCGCTGAGAGCTCCGCTCTCTCAGACACAGGGCACATCACAGGAAAGCCACAGCAGGTTATCGCTTTGAAAACAACAACAAAAAAAAGACAATACCGATCTCTGCAGTATTAACAGACACTGCTTGCTAAATCCCAGCAAGCCTAAATGACTGTGCAGTGGATTTAACTGGGGGATTAGTAAAA